CTTCTGATCCACTTCAGCCTTCAAGTCCTGCATCCAAGTCATTTATGAAGACATTAAAGAGCACTGGCCCTAAGATGGATCCCTTACCTTACAGGAAAGAGACTGTGTTTATAGCAGTTGACTTATTGCTCTCTGAAACAATAAGAAAAAATTTAACAAATATGACTTTAATAAGCTGGCCTTGCTGAATTGTACTGTAAACTGGTCTCCAGTGAGCAAGAAAGCTGTGAGTAATGAAAAGAAGTTCTTGTGTAGAACTGACAGAAGCTAAACATGAAGAGTATTTGAAATGGATTTTATTGTCAGTGAATTAGTGAAGGAAAATGTAGGGGCTTTCAGCAAGCAAACTAGCTGGGCTTTTCATTATGTACTAAAAAAAAAAAAATCCAATTGAACAATCCACTACAACAAAAGAGTGAGAAAAGTAACACCTGATTTTGTATCTAGAGGCAGAATATGAAGGTGCTCTTTGTTCAGCTTTCTTATTTGTGTTATTAGGTAGGTATTATGTATTTAAACCAGGCTGAGATGTAAAGAGAGAAAAAAAATCTTTTTACTATATCAGATGTTACAGCTGGGAAAACCTCACAATGCTTTTGGACTGCTTTGGGGTTTGGTGGTTTGTTTTTTTCTTTTTGGCAGGGGAGGAGGGAGGAAAGACAGTTAGGATCTGTTTGGGTTGGGTCTTTTCCCAACAGAAAAATGGTACAAAATTACCTCTCACTACAAACCGCTCTCATCTACGTGTCCCTTAATTCCTTAACTGCAACAACCCTTTTACTTAAAATTTAAATTTTCAATTAATATGATAATGGACACCTGGAAACTTTCCACACCTGTCCACATTGGAAATGAAAATTGCCATTCTGCCAGTATATGTCCTGTCTGTGGAATTTGTTTTAAGTATAATGGTGTAGCTGCATCTACAGTTTGGTTGCAGGAAGGCTACTTTAAAGATGATGCAATAGGAAAAATAACAACAGCCATGAATATGTAGAAGCCCACTTCAATGTGAAGCACACCCTAGATTATCTTAATTTAGAGCACATTTCACTTGAAATATACTAGTTCTGAAAACAAAATCAATGAGGAGTGTTAGTGTTCTCAGCTGTTTCAGTGCAAAATCAGTTGGCTTAGCTTAAATATGTTTTATACTGTTCACATACTATTTTTCTGAGGACAAACATCTTGAGTTGCTGTGGCGTTATTCTAGGTAATCATGTAGTAATGTCCTCACTTAGCTGTCCTCTTCTTAGTTAACTACAGCGATCTTGTTGCATAAATTTTATGTATTTTTCCTTTTTTGTCATTTACTATCTTACGTGTAGTTATCAAAGTGAAGTAACTCATGATACATAATTTTTGAGGGGTTGAATTTTGAAACATACAACATTCCTAATCTCAAATTGCAAGTTATGGTTTTTGCTGTGATAAACATGAAAGGTTTTATTGTGATTAAAGAAGTAGGAAAATATAGTTCACTGGTTAGAAATTGGATTTGACGGAAATTCCTCATGTTGAAAGATTTTTCTGAGTAGAGCTATAGTTGTATTATGCAATTGCTATGCAGTTGCTAAGAAAACATGATGTCTGATTTGCCGCCTTGCTAGAAGCTTTTTATAAAATCATGTAGCACAGTCAATTATTGGAAAGAATCAAATAGCTGAAAGTGCTGAATTATTCTTTAAAAGTGTTCTGTCTTATCTAGAACTGAGTAGAGTTGAGTTTGGGTGATTTTGTTGTTGAGCAGTCTGCCTATAAATAAAGTTCAAGAATGAGTAATAATTCATTTTTTAAAGACATTGTAAAACTTACAGGGAAACATAGGTTTACAAAAAGGAATAATGCTTGCTTAAACTGTGTGTACTGAGTTGGACAGCTAAAGATCCTGTCAATGATGATTTTTCATTTGTATTGTAGCTTAAAACACTAAGAAGTGGCTTGCATTTGTTGGGTCATTAACATTACAGCTTCATTTCAGTGCATCTTTTTAAAATGGACTGATCTTTCAAAAGTGAAAGTAAACAATTTGGTTAATGATTATATCTGTGATATGAATGATGTGGTTGTATTATGGTACCTAGCTTTATTCTTTGATCAGAATCTCTTTGTGTTATGTACTGTACAAGGCCAAGATGGCTCTACTTCAAAGACTTTAAATCTTAAGTATAAAACAATAAACAAGAAATAAGGAAACAATTGGGGGAGGGGCATGATTGCCACTGACATAAGAGACAAAAAAATCTCTGAATGGCCAACTGTTTTGATATGCACTATAGAGAAGAGTTTAAAGGAGACTGGTACCTTTGTTTTGCACAGTTTTATGGGGAGCTCAATCCAAACATGAACAAAACATCATTGGCATAATCTCAAAAGTTGACTTTGTGCTTAGGTTAAAATTAGATAGTGGAAAAAGGCACACATTGGAAGGACATATTGTTTACTTGTGTTGACACCCTGATAGTAACTGAGAGCAGATATTATAGAGATGGACCATAGATAGTTTTGAAAGCAAAATAATATAGTTTTTATAACAAGGCAATCAGTAAAAGTAGTAACATCATAGAGTAGGCTACAGAGGATGACCATATCCTCTGTAACCAAAAAAGGAAGGCTGCTGGAGAAAAAGAATAATTTTAATCTGCTTGATTGATGGCTAGAGAGGCATGTAAGTATGGCAAAAGAAAGTTTGAGAGTTTAAAAGTTAGAGGTATTTGACTTGTCTGTATGGAGTTGTTTTTGTGAATCAGAGTAGCAGGAGGTGTGAAATGTAGAGAAATGGTCTTCAGAGAACCCTGTACAAAGTGGAGAAAGGATTAAGTGGTGCTTCAAAGTTTGGACACATTTGAAAGGGCAGTTACAGAAATAGGAAGAGAACTAGGAGAGAGCAGGAGTAAACAAAATTTCAAGACAATTATGGTTGACTGTTGGGGAGGATGAGGACATTTTTATTCTGATCTTTGGCTAGGAAGCGGTCATTGAAAACTTTAGAAGTGATTTTAAAATGGCTGTCAGCTGGAAGTCTGGGTAAAATGGAACAAGCTGCAAAGATTGTATTTGGTGAGTTTAAAGATCAAACAAATGAATCATATTTAAAGAAGCAAAGGATATAGATTTAACTAGACAAAGAGAAAGCACGTGTATATTGTGAGCAGGAGGAGAGTGTGCTACGAAGGAAGTGCAAAACAGATCCAGAAATAAGATTTCTGGGTTTAGGTGAAAAAACAAGACTCTTCAGTAATGGAGAAAAGACAGTTTTTTTAAACACCTCTAACCTTATTTTCTTTTGGTAGAAATAGGTAGGTTTTTTCTGAAAAATCAAGCTAGATGAAAGTTTAAAGAGTAAGTAAAAAAATTAGATAGTCGTTCTAAAAGGATATATTTTATTTTAAAGTACATTATTTCATAACTCTGTGAATTCTGCACCTTCCTTCCTTAAGCATTGTAATTACCATGATCAAGATCTGAAAAAAAAAGTTTTTTTCCATTTAGTGTATTTAATTATTAAAATTTAACGTTCAGTATTTCAACAAATATTTTCCTTATGATTAATTGCTTGCATTGGTTTACAGAAATTTCAAGACATTGAAGAAACGCACCTTCTTCGCATGAAAGAGATTATAGAATCATTCTCAAATACAATAAAAGAAATTCATTTACAAATAGGAGAGGTAATTTTTATGTTACCATTTGTTTGGATTATGCTGCATATTTTTCTTAACTATTAAATGGAACATTTCATACGTGTTTGTGGTAATTACAACATCATATCTTTCAAATGATGGTAAATTCAACATAAGCTCAAATTTTTAAGGTTTCCTGTTGCATTTTCAAGTTCAGTATCACAAATTTTACAGAATAAGTCTGAATAAATTTTGTCTTAAAAGAAAACAAAATGTTTTGACGATTTGAAGAATTTTTAGTGTATTTCAAAGTTCTGTTCCCTAGATATTAAATTAGGACTCGTTTCACACATAATTGGGATACTTGTGCTTTTCTTTGACTAAAACTTGAAATTATATCACTCTGAAAAGTTTCCAAATTTGGACTTTGGGTTTTATGAGCAAAAGATCTTCAGCAAAAGAAGCTTTTATAGTATCTTTTCTTTAGATGTAAGTTGGTTTAATTAATAATCCTTATAAGTAGTCCTTTTAATTTTAGATGTTTTGAAGTGCAATTTTATTTGCATACACTTAACTTGAGTTGCTATTTTCCTCAGTTTTGAGGTTTTCTGCGAATGAATGATGATCACAAGGGTCATGCTGTTTACTTCTAAAGCGTACACATACTGCCTTGTTGGAAAAACTTATTAACAACATGTCATTGTTCCTTTGTCAGACCAAAAACATTACAACAGTAATGCTTTTACTCAAGCAGGTGGGAGCTGTGATAATACAGTAGTAACAGTTCACGCCCTTAACTGGTCCTGGCTTAAGAGACTGCTTGTCTTCCTGACATTGTAGTGGGACATGTTGCTGACAAATTTAGAAAATGATATATACACAAGTCATTTACATGGAAGAAATGGAAGTAAATCCTAGACCTGTCATCAAGCTGTATTCTTTCATTCCTAATTTGTATCTGCATTGTACACACACTTGCTACTACTAAACCAAAGAAGGAATTTCCTTGATAAAATGCCTGTTGACTTCTGGAAACCCTGTAATATATTTTAGAGGGAAGTATTTTGAACCTTAACTCTAGAGAAAAGCACTTTTTAAAATTAATTACATTCTTTCATTAACCAGTTTTTAAATTTTTTTGTGTGGTTTGTTTTTTTTGAAGGTGCACGAAGAGTTTATTAATAACATGACAAATACTACAGTTGAGAGTTTAATACAGAAATTTGCTGAGTCAAAAGGAACTGGCAAGGAAAGACCTGGTAAGAGATTAAAAATAACAGAGTAGGAAATGTTAATTTTAAAACTGTAGATTTCCACTCCTAATAAGAGGTCAAACCCGTGTTTGTTAATGTGTTATATTTTTAACATACTTACAATTTCAAATTCTCAGAATTCATTAGCTTTGATATTAAATGATTTGTAGAAATTTATTAACACACAATTTATTATGTATGTGTAGTATTTGTGTTCATAAAGCATGGCAATTTGTAACTCTGAGTCCCTCTATGTAGACCTTCAAGGAAGCTTTTAAACTGTACGGTTTCTTGGTACATCAGTGAAATTTGTCAAGCAACTGAAGTTCCTTGCACAAACTATCTGTTGTTTGCTATGTGTTTCTGTATAAATTATATTTCAAAACTTTATTTAATATAAATTTATAGATATATTCAAAACAGATGCTTACCAAACTGTTGGAACAGTTGTGTCAGTTTATTTGGTTGGCTTAAAAAAATTATGCATTTTAGCAGATTGTAAGTAGGTTGTTCTTTACTAAGCAACAAATTGAGTAGTACTTTCTGAAAGTACTTCTGGTTGGGTGTGGTATATAAGACTTTCCTGGACGGGCATAAAAAGGCAATCTCACAGTACTGTGTATCTAGCATTATAGGAAAGATAAAGTGTTGACTTTAATATTTGGGCACGAATACACGGTAACTAAGTGTGTGAATACAGGAATTCAGTAGTACTGTTTTCTGTTGTCTTCAGCACTGGGAGTCCTGAGTAGCATCTCTGTCTTCTGGTATAGAAGCACAAAGGTGGGTTTTTTTCAGAGCAAGGATGTACATAACGGAGTAGGTCTTGAGAATTTCTGTTAAATTGTTAAATATGGTTACTAGGTATCTTACAATGCCTCTGTGAGGTGTTTTTAACATTGTTTCATATTCTTTCTGTGATCCTCTAATGCTAATGTCCAAGAGGGCTGAGGTAAGATTGTATATGGAATAATTTTCAAATGTTTCCTTTGTATTTTGCAATTTTTCAGTAAAGATTAAGAAAGAAGTATGAACTTCAGGGTTTCAAGTTCAGTTGGCCTGAAATCAGGACAAAGACACGTGAAAATTCAGTGTTCAAACCTCTTTGATCAGCTGTTGCCAAGACATTATGGCTAGGGATCTCCATCTTTCATTTACGATTCTGACCCCCTGGATTACAAAGACCCTTGCTAAAGTATCCTAGAACACTGTGCACTTCAAGTCATCCATGTTATTAGTGTGTTTTTTTGCTAGACAACGTAGTAATTGTAAGAAAAGTAATACTTCACTCCTTAATTTAGTGTGAGAAGTTACTCACACTCTATACTTACTTGCTGCTTTACAGAGTTCTTCAAATCCCATGTGTATTCTCTGGGGCCAACTAAAAGCTTTTGCCATAGCCAATTTAATTTCTTCAGCTCTTTTAATAACAAAGTATTCTGAGGAAATATAGTGTGTTTAGTGTGGAAATGTGTGTACCTTGAATTTTCTTTTACCATGTTAAATTACTGTATTGATATCAACTTTGTAAAGCAGTCATGATGCAGAGGGAAAGCACAGGCAAATTCAGCAGTAAAAGAATACAAATTCACAAGTAGTTTTGAAGTGTCAAAGATAGGAGACTAGAAATACAGACCACTAGTGTTGTTAATTACCATTACTGCTTCTATTATATTTATTTTATTAACTTAAGATCATATAGCTCTGACAGTTACAAAGATTTGGAAGGCAAAGTGAGATATCAGCCTTCTAGGAATGAAATGGAAACATTCAGTGTGGTAAGGACAGCTTTTTCTTGATTAAAAAAAAATACTTTTCTGCATTTGAGAACTGTTCTTAATAGAAAGTTATTTTAACTCATGGAGCAAATGTTGGAAGTCTTTCTCTGTCCGATGTATTTATTAGGCTGGAGAAGGAGATGGCTCCTCAGATAAATCTAAATATTCAATGTAAAAATCATATTGACTTGGTGTACAAAACAGATGCAGAAAAGATGTCTTATGGCTGTCACTGATGCTTAAGATTCCAGTCCTAAATCTGTTTGAAGAAGGAAATACTTTAAAATCCCCTAGGACTATGTAGGTCTTCTCCCATATTATTTTGTGGGCTAGTATACTGAGTTAGATGGTGGGCCACTTTCTGAAATACTGAATTGTGAGAACAAAATAAACTAAAAAGGTAATGCACATAACAAAGTATTTTAGTATGAAATACTACTTCAGTATATATTATAATATATATAATATATTCTAGTATTAACTATATTGCCCTATATTCTAGCTATAGTTATAGTTCTTTCTAGCAG